GTTCTTTACACCATTAAATAACGTTCCTTCAAGGGTTTAGTAAAGGCTACGTTACAGTCGTGCACATCTTCTACAAGGAGCACACTTAAATACACTTAAATACACTTAAATATGGCATTTTTAGTCCACAGTTTCTATTTACTTCTTTAACATATTGGAAAAAACTAAAGCATAACATATTAAAAGAGCCTCACTTTTGCTCCGGCCACATTTTAAGTACTTTTTACCCCCCAATATGTTAAATTCAGCTAATAAACAGTAATTGTGCTTTAAAATGTGCAGTTCTCTATAGAGGACGTGTTCACTTATTCACACTTCAATCAACACAAACATGGAATTTAACCAAATATATGACTGGATATCATCGCCGTCCAAGGAAAAACAAGTATTTCTGAAATGGCAGCTTCACAAAGAGGGCAAAATATTCTTAACTTTAATGTAAGTTAATGCAAAGAGATTTTATTCTAAGGATTTTGATATTTTTGGATCATTTCTGTTGGTCCAATCATTATGAAATCTTCACCTAATGTAAAGCTGATGTGCTCAAATGATGCAGAAAAATAAAAATCACAGATTTTTTTTTGGACAGCAACAATTCATAGAACCCTGAACACCCAGAGAACCACTGAAAAGCATAAACAGTCCTTTACAGTGTTAAAGGTTTCCTCTCTATGATGCAAAACTTGAACCATTTGCATGCTTAAAGGGTTCTCTGCATGGTGAAACGGTTCTTCAGATTGATGGAGAATGTGCTGTATACGGTTCACCAAAATAGGTTCTGCTATTGTTACAATGTCAAACTTGTAACAGCAGAAGAACCCTTTTTGGTGCTATATAGAACACTTTTCAAAAAGGTTACAACATCAGTTTGAAGAACCACTTCAACATGCACAGAACCCTTTAATCATGCAAATGGGTCTTTGAGTGATCATGGTTCTAAATAGATCCGTTGTCTTTACTAAAGAACCTTTAAAGAACTATTTTTTAAGAGCAAATGGGTATCAAAGTTGTTTGGTAACACTACTGAAAGGCAGCCTTCATAATGCTACATAAAGCCTACATAAGCTTTCGTGAACTGACATAAACCTACATACACGTTTAGAAACACTCTTCCAAGAGTCAAGGCTACTTTTGTCAGTTTCGAGGTCAGTTTGCCTCAGTAAGCGTTAAGACAGCTGACGCTTGGTGTATTAAGCGTCTATGTAGGTTTATATCAGTTGTTATGAGAGGTTTATATACTGTGATGTAGCTTTATGAACGCTGCCCTTCAGCAGTGTTGGCGATTGTTTTTCCAAAGCACCTGTTTGGCACCTTTATTTCTAAGACTTTTTGGATTTGGTCTGTTATAGTTTTCCCCTAATTCCCGTTTCTTGCTCACAGTTGTTTAATAGCTGTTCTAGGTTTTATGGTCCACACAGTCCTGCAGCTTTTAAGCAATAATGAGCCTCTGGAAAAATCCCAGATTCAACAGAATTGAAAGCAGGCCTAATCTTTTTTATTAATCCACCAAGTCCATTTCCTCTAAGTGGAACTATAAGATTTCTCAGTTGACAGCAGCTTGTGAGCCCGCCTCCATTAAAAGGGAAATTAAATCCATCATTTTCCAGATTTGAGAGTCCATGCTGCGCAACTGCGTCTCAGCTGAGTTAACGGTCCAATCAGGAGCATGTTGTCCATTGGGAGTGCTAGGGCACCCTTACCATAAACAAAACTATCATTTTTTTTCTAAATACATTACGTTGGCTTATACAGTCAGAGACCACCCTTCATTTATTTAATGTCCAGCGGACAAAGTGTTTCAGAATTTTTTGTGAGAAGTTTAGATATAAAATAATCCAGTTGCATAAGGAATGAGAAAGTAAGAAGCTTCCAAAAGCTCCAGAGAAAATGAGGCTCCTAACAACCACCTGGAAGAGCTGGTCGACCCCAAAACTGCCCCCATCAGATAAACAGCACTTAAAGCTTTCATCTCTGAGAGAGAGGAGAAAATCAAGCTGATCAGATCTGAAAACATCCACAGGTGTTTCTGTCCATCCTTCCACTGTGAGAAGACGACTCAGCGCTGTGGGTCTGAAAGGATGTGTAGCTGATCAAGAAGAACCTCACTGAGAAAAGGAGACGGACACATCAAACAAAGAAGCTGAACGATGGACTGACCACCCCAGAGTCCAGACCTCAACACCACTGAATGTGTTTGATTACTTCAGAAAATGATCAACCAGCTTCTAAGACTGAACTTTGGAGGTGTGTCTGCAGATTCTTTGAGGAGCTGAAAGTGAGTCTCCTGAAGAGAATGGAAGCTGGAATAAAGGGAAAGAGTGACTCAGTGACTCACTCAGCTGAGAGTAGAGTGAGCTATAAAGACTTCTTTCCTAAATAAATGAAAGGTGGTCTCTGACTTTTGCCCAGTATTGTGTGATTCTGTGAAACTGCAAGCAATCAAATTTAAAGATACACATTATGTTCACTTTTTTGATTATTCATTAATGAAATAATTAATTGCACAAATTTTGACTTACTTTCGCCTTCATTCATATGCAGCCAACTGAAAGGAGCGAATGCATCCATTGCTCTGCCTGACCAGTATAAATGCTCCCTTACTGAGTTTTGTTTCTAAAGCTTATATAAGTGTATATCTGTGTGAGTCTGTATGTCTGAGACAGCAGTATTTGGCAGTAGCCGCGGTCAGATGTCTGCCAGCCCAGCGCTCGGAGCTCTAACTCTGTATCCTTGCTCTGCACTGATAAATGCCTCATCCTTTCTCTTGGGGCCTCTTCACTCCTTTATCTTTGTGCTATCCCTCCCTCTCCCCCTCTCGCTCCTCTCTTTGAAGTTCTGCAGGATCTCACAGAGCTCTGAGAGAGTGAAATCCTCAAAGTCGTTTGATTTCCCAATAACGACTCTGATTTGTGTACTGCAGAGGCGCTTCTTCTCGGAGGCAACGTTAAAAGCAGCAAATATGCACAATTACTGTTGTTTCAGCGTCGACTTCGAACAGGTAAAGAGGCACTCTGTTAAAAAAAGGGCCGTTTCTCCTGATTCTGAGGCCGATCGATATGACTGATCCTCCTTAAAGACTCCCAGGATGACACAGGCTTTCGATTGCTTATCTCAACAGTGAGACAGTTTAACCTTGGGCTTAACTCAAAGCTCTTAAGGTGGGATATTCTAGGACACATCCAGTCCATTATGGTACTAATTGCAGCCATGAAAAGATGCTGTGTCATAGATTCAGGTCTTTTATACTCAATTTTGCAGATGTTAATAGTCTAAATCTGTGCTCAGGAAATGCTGCTTAGGAGGAAATTATTAGAAATGCATCAGAGCAACTTTGAGTCAGCTGCCCAAGTCAACAGTGTCCAGAAAGGACCATGTAAGTTAAACTAAATGTCCGTATATTACTAAACAGTGGTGGTAAAGGTATTAATACTGTTAGTAAAAATACTACTTGAGTAAAAGTCAGTGTATTTCTGCTTGAGTAAAAGTATTTGCTTGTGAACGTACTAATGTATAAAAAGTAAAAGTACTTCTAGAGTTATTATAAGTCTTGTTCAGTATTATTTTTCATAGAGATAGAGATTTGGGTGGTTGCAGATGTGAAAAACGTGTTTATCGAGTACTTTTGATACATTCCAAAGCAAGTACTTCTGTACTTGTACTGTACTTTCTGTACTTTTACTCTGTAGTTTTACCAAGAGTACATCTATTTTACACATGTACAAAAAGACTTTACTTCATTCAACCCATCGAAGGGGAAATCCATCAATTTTTCAACGTTTCCTATATAATTAAGTGGTTGAGATGTAAACAAAGTCATTCAAAGTAGAAAATATTGGGCTTCACTCTCCAACATCTTCCTAAGTTTGTTCTTAACTGTGTTCTTGAGAAAGGTTCTAAGAAAAATTCTACATCAGATTCATGACGTGTTCTCACCTCTGTGCTCTTGAGTGTGTGTTGATTCTGTTCTTACCTGAGAACAAATCCCACATAAGAGAACATTGATGAACGTCAGAACTGCATAAGTGGATTTTAAGAAGAAATTTCTTCTGAAGAACAGTTGGACAATGAGGACCAATACTTTTTTGGGGACTGTTTTGCCTCACAACGCTCTGCACGTACCTCTACACCACAAACAGATTTTCAAAAAGACATTTTATCTCAAAACTATCATAAAACAGTGTCTCAGCCATCAGGCAGTGAATTCATAACCATTTCATGTAGGAACTTTCTGTGAGGGGGCTTTTAGAGGTGGACGTCTGGTTCCTATCACCACCACTGTGAACAGTTCTGTAAGTTTCTCTAGAACAGAGAGTTTCACACCAAACCACTCTGAACGACTCTGTTTACATCTTAAACATTTCACTATGCAGAAATTTAGGAAAATCACTTGGATTGCAGATATGTTATTTCTTTATTTATGCAAGCATGGAACCTCTTCAGCCTTTACTTCTCTTATTAAAGTGAGCTAAAGGTTAAGAAGCTGACAGACCTACACTCTTCAATACAAAGGTGCCAAAAAGGGTTCTTTGGAGATGCAGAAGAACCACTTTTGGTTCTAAAGAAACTTTCAAGTGGCTGATTCTTTTTGTAATAGAAATATTTGAATAATATTTGAATGTGAAGAACCTTTGTAAAGTTTGAACAACCTCCACATGATGTGAAGTTTCTATACCAGCTCAGAGTTTTTCCCCCCAAGCCAGGAACCATTAAGGAACCCTTTTTTTTTAAGAGCGTGCTGATACTGCTCTGATATGTACGGCCTGCTTTTATATGTACATAACTTGCTCGCTGGCTCAGGGCTATTTTCAGTAAGAAAAAGCTTATGTGAAAGATGTGATGCATAGCTGAAATGCAGGCATATGTGAGCATGAGTCTGGGGGGTTGAAAGTGCTACCTTAACCTTCAGATCACAGAGATGAATGAGGCTGTAAATCAATCACGGATGGCCTCCTGAACAGTGCTCGAGTCTAAGTTTAGATCACTTTGTTGGGGTATTGATGATGTAGCTCAGAGCTGATGTAGCTTTTAGAGCTGGACTGAAGCTGGACTCACTCAGCTACAAATTTTCTGACCTTCAGAACCTTCCTGGAAATGTGAATGAACCCAAGTTTTTCCAGAACTGCAGTACGCCGATCCTTTATCCGAAGTGACCTGCGTTAACCGGAAGGGTTTAGCGTCTGGGGTTAAGTGCCGTACTCAACTGAGATCAAATGAGTCTAATTCCCTGACCAGAGGGCTACCACCACCCCAGGTATTAACACTGGCTCGAATAGATATCCAAAATACTTCATGCATATCATGCTTTTCACTGGAACTCTTGTACAAGGCAAAGTCAGAATGCAGCCCAAACAAAATCCATCACAACCCTCTGGGCATCTCGAAAGACTTCCCTGCAAGCCGGAGTATCTCCTATATTGTTCTGCTGATCCATAAGATGGTTCTACCTGCTGTCACTAGTTTCTGCAAGTCTGTTGTTCATAATGCCCAGAGCTCCAACTCCACCAGAGAAGCCATTGTGCCTTGAGCTTCCACAAACTGTCCTCGGGTATCCGTTTGCCGACTCCGAGAGCTGCTTCTGCATGATGGCCAGTGAGATCTTGTTGGAGCCTGTTAAGTCCCGCATAGAAATCATCTCACCGGAGAGTCTCCTTCCTTCCGTGTCACTCCCTTCCGCATCAGGTGGGCGGCCAAAGCGCCCCTGCCTGAGGCGCGAGCCGGGCCGGATGGCGTTGCGTCGTCCCAAGAAGGCATTGGCCTTGTTGCAACGCTGGCAGCAAAGGCAACTCATCTTGCCCAGCATCCAGTTAAGCACCTGTTTGATGACAATGGAGATCACGTTGAAGAGCGAGTAGATACAGCAGACGCCCGTCAAAATGAAGAGGAAGTTGGCGAGCCGGTACAGGCCCTGGTAGTCATAGGCTTCGCTCTGGCTGCTGACCAGGTCTCCGAAGCCAATGGTGCTGAACGTGACGAAGCAGAAGTAGAGCGAGTCAAGGTAGGCCCAGCCTTCCACGGGGGTGTACATGGCTGAGGCGCAGCAAGAGATGACGATAGCCGACAGGCCCAGGATCAGCATCACGTGGTAGACGGACGGCTTCCAGCCCGGAAGACTGCTGGCCGCAAAGTCCTGGCAGATCCCGGGTGGAAGGAGGCCACTGGTGCGCAAACGACGCAGCCGGAATGCTTTCATCACCACGGCCAGCAGGGTGATGATCCGCTCCAGGAAGAGGTTGAAGAAGAGGATGGTGGCCGCACAGCCGAGAAGGCCGTAGAAGATCAGGAACACTTTGCCAGCCACCGTCACTGGGGTGGTCATCCCGAAGCCTAGAGGAAGAAGACCACATGTGAGGGATTCAGCGTGAAATTATACTAAGCATAAAAATACAAAGTGAGTTCAGGTAAAGTGGGATGAGCTTCATGCTCCGTAGCTCTTTGAAGGTCAGGAGCTGATCAAATAATAATCACCCAATGGACACTTGTCAATCAGCATTTGTTTTCATTGGCCCCCATATAGAAATCTGATATATGGCAATATGTGGATTTCAAATATATGACATATGTTAGCATGTATGAATTTCCCTTATATGTAACTAAGGGTACATCAAGGGTCCATCTCAGTACCTTTAGTCAGGGAACATAACTGAACCATAATCCACTGAAATGATATGTTCTAAGCTGTACTGACTCCACACACCCCGTCTCGTCTCCAGGCTTTTATTTTACTGTTCTGTTTGAAACATTCGGTTATGAAAAGGTACAAATACGAACTTTTCACCTGGAAAAACTTATTTAAGGTTCACAATCAGACCTTAAAACCACTGTTGGAGCTTTGAGGAACATTTACACTGTTTGTACCTTGAAGAACAAAAAATATACCTGAACAGAACCTTTATTTCTAATAGTAGCAAGTAAAGTTTATTTATATAGCGCTTTTTACAACAGGTGTTGTCACAAAGCAGCTTTACAAGGAAATCAGCATTACAGAAAGAAATCCAGGTCTGAGCCCCCATGAGCGTCGCCAGTGGTGACAGTGGCAAGGAAAAACTCCCTAAGAGAAACAGGAAGAAACCTTGAGAGGAACCAAGACTCAGAAGGGGAACCCATCCTCCTCTGGTCGACACCGGATAGTAAACATTGTTAGTACAAAAACAGGGAACAGGAGCAAATGATTAATTTGATTAGTTTGGTTCATGCAGCAGCAGCAGCAGCATCAGTGAGGTCAGGTTGTGAGGGTGAGGTTTGCACGGCGAGCAGTGGCACCCGATCAAGGCAGAAGAGGCAGCATCATCAGACGCACAGGATGGGCAGCTGTTCAACTCGGCAAAGGAAACGAAAGAAAGGAAAAACACAGAGAGTCAGTTCTGTAATGGGTGATTGATTAATTTGATTAGTTTAAATGATTGATTAGTTCAAATGATTAATTTTGATTAGTTCATGTAGCAACAGCAGTAGCATCAGTGGGGTCAGGTTGTGTATACACTATATATAAAAATAGAGTATATTTCAGTGAGTTATCAATATATACAAACATACATGTGTGAAAATAATCCTCCAACCTCCAAAAATATCCAGCCAAAAGCGTCCTGTGGGCAGCGTCCTGTGACCACTGATGAAGGACTAGAGGATGACCAACACAAACTGTGCAGCAGCAGATGAGCTATCGACTCTGACTTTACATCTACAAGGTGGACTGACAAGGTAGGAGTGTCTAATAGAGTGGACAGTGAGTGGACACAGTGTTTAAAAACTCCAGCAGCACTGCTGTGTCTGATCCACTCAGACCAGCACAACACACACTAACACACCACCACCACGTCAGTGTTACTGCAGTGCTGAGAATGACCCACCACCCAAACAGTACCTGCTCTGAGGGGGACATTTGTGAGGAGATTAGATATAAAATAATAATTGATGCTTTTGTGTATTTTCTCCTAAATATATATTTTCTGTTTTTTTCCTGAAGCTGAGAAATGAATAACTTGTACTTAATGGCTGTTTTGACTAGAAATGAAATAAACGGAGGGTGGTCTCTGACTTTTGCACAGTACTGTAAAGAAACATTGAAGTAAGTCTGGCTACACTTTACATTATTAATATTTTTCTCTCAGGGAAATAAAAGAGGTTTCTGTGCTTCGGTGGTTTGTGTTTGTGTGTGTGAGTACGTTAGTGTCGCCGTATGTGAGAGGAGTAAGATGGATGAGTCGGTGGGAATCCTGCCGCATTGGCGCTTACTGGGTGAGAACTGTAGTGTGGTGCGGGTGGCCGGGGGGCTGTGGGGGGGTGGCACAGGACAAAGACTGAAGCTGCAGCAGTGAAGGAGCATTAGCTGATCGACTGAACTGATGCAGTGTCAGCTCTCAGAGCAGCACCTACACATACCCACACACTCGGCATGTGCCAGTATAAAAATGTAAAAATCATATATATATATATATATATATATATATATATATATATATATATATATATATATATATATATTATACACACAGTGGAGTCCAAAAGTCAGACACCACATTGAAAATTTGGCTTTTTTTATTTAAACCTGGACACAAACAGCAAGTTTTATAATCTTAAAAAATGTAAAACAAAAAAAGAAAAAAGTTTTGACAAATAAAATGAATAAGAAATATTCAAAATTCTGCACTATTTCTAGTTTACTATTCAAACTGGAGCAAATTTCTAGTGAAGCTTGTGTTCAGACAGCTCTCAGGTGGATCTGATCTGCTGAACACCACCAAATACTAAGAAATTCAGAAATTCATGTTCAAATTTCAAAGACTCTACTTTTCGAAAGTTTTTAAAGAAGAAGTTGACAGAATTAAATGGTCTTATAATAGACTTTACAATCTTAACATGTGAATTATTAAACATGTTGACTAGATTTAAAATAATTTCATGTATATCGCTGCTGTTGAAAGAAAACCTCATATCTCCATTTTTGTCGTTTATCAGTTTTTGACATAGTTCAAAAATGTCTGTTGCTCTTTACATTGTGTGTAAATTTCATGAAGAATGGACCAAAAGAAACGGCCCAAAATGACTTGGAAAAATGTCTGGTTCCATTGACTTACATTAAAAGTGAAGTAGGTTTTGTCCTTCTCCTGTAAAGTTACCAACACTACTACTTTTAAGATTAAGTGACCCTTATTAGTCCCACAAAGGGGAAATTTCACCTCCGCATTTTTCCCACCCAAGCAGTGAAACACCACACACACGCTAGGGGCAGTGGGCACACTTGCCCAGTGGTGGGCAGCCCTATCCATGGCGCCCGGGGAGCAGTTGGGGGTTAGGTGTCTTGCTCAAGGGCACTTCAGTCACATACTGTCGGCTCAGGGGATCCAACCGGAGACCTTACAGTCATAGGGCTGGTTCCCTGACCTCCAGCCCACGACTGCCCCCAAAGTACGTCAATGTAACCATATATATATATATATATATATATATATATATATATACACACACACACACACACACACACACACACACACACACACACACATGTATATGTATATATAGTTTTTAAACACCTCAGTGTCACTGCTGGACTGAGAATAGTCCACCAACAAGGTAGGAGTGTCTAATAGAGTGGACAGTGAGTGGACACAGTGTTTAAAAACTCCAGCAGCACTGCTGTGTCTGATCCACTCACGCCAGCGCAACACACACTAACACACCACCACCACGTCAGTGTTACTGCAGTGCTGAGAATGACCCACCACCCAAATAGTACCTACTCTGTGAGGGTCCATGGGGGTCCTGACCACTGAAGAACAGGGTAAAAGGGGGCTAACAAAGTATGCAGAGAAACAGATGGACAACAGTCTGTAACTGTAGAACTACAAAGTGCACCTATATAGTAAGTGGAGCTGATAAAATGGACAATGAGTGTAGAAACAAGGAGGTGGTCAGAATCTTATGGCTGATCGGTGTAGATGTAGAGAGAGAGGGAGAGAGAGAGAGGGAGAGAGAGAGAGGGAGAGAGAGCTCTGTGACAGTAGAACAGAGAAGCGGATCAAGCTGACCTTGAAGCGGCTCATCATTAATTAATTAACCTCCTCTCTCTCTCTGCTCTCCCTCGCGCTGAGGGTTCTCCTGTTAAGTGAGAGTAAAGGTGAGTCTGCCGCGAGCGAGCCAGCTCTGTCCCTCATTACGGTCTCAATTACCCCAGGCAACCGCCATCGATTCTGCCCGCTGGTTCAGAGTCATTGCTTTCGACTGCTGCGTCAGGAGGCATTACTGAGAGAACAGAGAACCTCACAGGCCCACAAATAGCCAACAGGAACCCGCTGGACTTTTTCGGCACTTTCACTTCAAACTGAATCCTTAGTTCAATACGTGATGTGTGACCCTGTAGAAGTAATTTAGGCAACGTTTCACAGGTACACTCTTAAAAAATGGTTCTTCAGGGTTCTTTAGTGAGGAAAATGGTTTTATACACAAGTACGAACACTTAAAGAACCCTCTGCATGTTTGAAGGATTCTTTGCATGGTCAAGTGTTCTTCAGGTTGAAGGAGAATGTGTTGTGTATGGTTCTACATGGAACCTTTGTGAAAAAGGTTCTACATAGCACCAAAAATGGTTCCTCTATTGGTACAATATCAAGCTGGTAAGCATAGAAGAAACCTTTTTTGTGCTCTATAGAACCCTTTTCAAAAAGATTCTACGTAGAACCATTTAGAACACATTCTCAATCAATCTGAAGAACGCTGTCATGATGCAACACAACTCTTAATCATGCAAATGGTTCCTTCAGTGTTCATGGTTCTATACAACCATTTTCTTTACTAAAGAACCCTTGAAGAATCATAATTATTATAATTAAGAGTGTATATGGTTCTATAAAACCTTAAAACAGGGTTCCGCTATTGTTACAATATCAAGCTTGTTACAATAGAAGAACCATTTTTGGTGCTATATAGAACCCTTTTCAAAAAGGTTTTTTAAAGAACCATCTACAACACATTTTCAATCAATCTGAAGAACTTTTCATGATGCAAAGAACCCCGTAATCATGGAAATAGTTTATTGAACCATTTTCTTTACTAAAGAGCCCTTGAAGAACCATGTTTTTAGAGAGAGTATATGGTTCTATATAGCATCAAAAAGGGTTCTGCTATTGTTACAATGTCAAGCTTGTAAACATAGAAGAACCCCTTCTAGTACTACTGTTATAGAACCCTTTTCAAAAACGTTTTGTGTATCAACAGCACAACCTCCATCAATCTGAAGAACCATTTCACCAAACAAAGAACCAGTTAAGCTTGCAATTGGCTCTTTGAGTGTTCATGGTTCTATATAGAACCGTTTTCTTTACTAAAGA